ATTTTTAAAAGAGGCAGTTGTTAATAGTGCTTTTCAGAAGCATCACTGTCAAGTCAAAATTAAATTCCAGTTCAAACAGTAGATTGAACTGCACATCTGCTCAGTTGTAATGAAGATTCTTTCATTGTACACAAAGCCATTACTGTAAAATGCTTTGCATGAATGTATTATTAGCTGCTCCAATAGGTATCACTATGAAATGGTAATGCAGCTTTAAACATTCAGTTCTTGCATTACAGGGAGACTTCTAGAACCTGCCTGCAGATACAGTCAGAACATACTTTAAGGAAGATTTTTCAAAAGCTTTCAATGCTACCTTAACTCTGCTTCCAGAGGTCATTTTTAATCACTGTTTTTGTCACAGGAAAAAGCAGTGTCTTTCAGTAAATTAGACTGTCCCCAGACTTTCGGCCACAGAATCTAAGTTTTTTGTTTAATGCGCACACACATTGCACAGCCTCGTTTTTAATGAAGGCTTATGTAAGTTTTACACTCACTTTTAAACTGTTACTTTGGGTATGAGTTGTAACATTCAAAAAATAATCAGCTTCCCTTTTCAGCACTGGAAAGCTCTGTGCAGGATACAGAGGGAAAGTGGGAACCAGAAGGTGATTTTACACATTTGGAGATTTAACGGACCTCTGAGAGCAAGTTCCAAGTGCTTTTATTTGGCTAATTGAAACTGGGGAAAGATTAACTAGTTAATTCTGTATATTTAAGACTAGGAAAACTCTTGAAAAATTCCTTTCACTGGTCAGAATTTGACTGTACTGAAAGACTAAGTGTTACCAAGACAGAGGAACTGGCTCTCCAGATCAACTTTCCGTTTACATGAGCAACATAGCTTACCTTCCCACTCTCACCTCCTCTGCTCCCTTTCCTCCCAGGAAGCAAATAAGATAATAGCACATTATTAGATCTATTAACTGTTTCTCTCTGCTGTTCTTATTTCAATTTTCTTTGACTTTGGAGAAGAAAACCCCTGCTTTCCAGAAGGTCCAGAGACATGTTAAAGATTCAGGGTCACACATGCAGTTCTCTGCTGCATCCAGCTGCACCTCACCTCTTAGCTCACTTAGATCTATCAAGATGAATCACACAAGTAAGTGAATCCTATACAGGTGCCTCATAGTGCACTCTCAAAACTGAGAGTCTACTTGTTCCTACAGAGGAACTTGTTGTTTGGGCTTTCAGCTTCAAAGGGTGGAGCTGCTACTACATTAGTCACTTGTTGTTTTTCCAGAGACTAGGAAAGATATGAAGATGTTAAGAGTCTCCTTTGCACCAGGATAGTTCCTTTTTAAATGCATTTATATTAAATTACTTTGTTATAGGGAACCTTTCTGGGGAACAAGTCACTATAGTCTCAAGTGTGGAAGCAACCCTAGGTGCCCAAGTTATGTCCAACAGTAAAGATAACACAGCCTTGTAAACAGCATTAAATATTTAGGGACATAAAGCCACTAAGGAAACACACCAGTTCTCAAGACACTAATATTATGGAGATAAATGCAGTCTTACACACATAAATTCGTAATGCCTTATGCAAACCAACCTGAAAACTGACTAAATTGAAAACTAAACTATTCATTGTTTCATATTCAAAAAACACTTGCTTTTGAATGTGAACTTTTCCTTTTTTTTTTTTATGGAAAATTATTTTGAAGCTGCAGAATCTGAAAGATGTTTATCTAAAAGACTGTGGCTTTTATCTAAAAGACAGTGGGTATTTTAGAAGGGTTAAGCAACCAACAGCTTGGAAATTATATTTAAAATTATTAATTCTGACAAAAGATGCTCATTGCTGTACTTGAGTATTAATAAACTAATTCATTTTACTCTCTTTCCCCAAACTACAGAATAATGATGATGAGCAGAGGCTACTGTGAGAACCTAGGAATGCTGCCAGTTCCTATTTCATTTGGATATATCAAAAGGTGAAGCACAGCCTAAGCTTCAAAGCCAACAAAGATGCATTGCCATCTTGCACTACTGCAGAGAGGAGATAACCATGAGGCCATAAAAATTCCATCCCTCTAACGCAGCTAGTTACATACAGAACCACATTACAAACTTTTCCAAAGGTATCTATTGCCATCTGAGAATGTCACATGGCCAAGTAAGTCCAGTGCAGACACAACTCATAGGTCTCACATAGGAATGCACATACTCTCAAGCATCTCCAATTTGGTATATTCCCAGTCTGAGGTTAACACAAGAAAGAGGTGACTGCATGATGGCCTTTTACTCAGATTGATTTCCTCTATCAGCAGGTCTTGCTTTTCAGTTTTCAAAACACCTTTTTGTGCTCCAGCATTGTCACATACTAAACACCCATGCAGTTTCAACATATTGTTATTATCTGCTGATGCACTCAGATCAAAGATCAATATCCCATATAGAACAGCTACTATAAAACCACATTGTCATCAATAAGTGAATTGAAGACCACACAGTGGAAGCAACACTGACACATTGTGACTAAACTGCATATTAATTTAAGGTCTTTCTAAGCACAAAGCTTATGACAGGAAATCTAAGCTATCACAATCTTTTGTTTCCTAAGACAACAGTTCAGTAATAGCATATAATGCTTCAAAAACACTTATACTGGCAAGAATAAAATATTTTCTGAGACATTTCAATGAAATAATTCCATCATAAAATGCTTATAGATACACTTGCCTCCTACCCTTCTATTTGAGCTCACAAAGATAGTAAGGAGGAACACATTTATGTAACCAAAATTATTCTAATTGAGCCTTTTTTCTTCGCATACAAAGAATTAAAAACAACAGTGTTAGGCAGTCCCAGATTTAATAGGTTCCTTGGGACCACATCATTAAGTAAAATGAAAAATCCAAATACAAAAGTTTATTTTTTTCTATGTAATTGACACCCCTTTTGGGAAGTGAACAAAGACACACTGTCAAAAGCAGAAAACTGCACAAAATGTTACCGTTTGTTCCCCATGAATGCAGAGGTATACTTACTCAATGAAAGAAATTCCACTTCTCTCCTGAGAATTCCTCCCTTTAGCTGAATTTTGTGCCAAGTTCACTCAGCTAAAGTTTGGGTTGTGTTAGCATGCCAGATACAAGTTCCTGTAAGGCAGCTCTGTTACTCAGTCAAAAATTAAGTGCCAGGTATATAGTAACTGCAGTGTTACAAGAATTAAAAAGTGCTCATTAACAGACCATTATTGGCCCTTACTTTAAACAGTTCAAGCACTGTTTTTAATTGAAAATACTTGGTACATATTTTTGTCTATTATGCAGGCTAATCATGTGCAATTTCTCCTCCAGTTATGTTTTTGGACATGTTAAGGAATCATAGATTTCTAAATTGCTCTGAAGTGACTTAAGTTCCTTCAGAAGTTTCAGGTTTTAGTGAAGTAATTCTCAGGTGACAAATTCATCAATGTAAGACAAGTATTCTCTAAACTGCAGTCAAAAGAACTTAGGAAGGACAAGGTGACTGATCTACAGGACTAGGGAAGCAGCTTTATATGGGACAGTAAGACAGGAACAGGGATGATCTTAAACCCAGAGGAATATAATTTCAATAAAAAATGAGAGGGGAAGAAGAATAGAAACCATCTCTTTTGAAATAAAGTATTCCTGGTATTGAAATTCCCACTGTTCCAAGTGGATACCTATATTACAGTAGCAGATACCGATACTCTCAAATATCAGAATAAAATATTATTGCAAACTTTACAACTGAACCAGACTTGGGTTCATGTTTTATGAAGAACTGTTAAAGAAAATTTCTGACTTTTGTAAAAAAGTTTCTGTATTTTTTAACAAGAAGATATGCTTTATGAAATGTATAAATACATTTCAGTTTTTCTCTTTTTATCCAAAAATACACTGGAAAGCTTCTTACTAAAACTTAAATGAATTGGAAAGCCTCCAAACAGCTGTTATGTAAAAGTGCTGATCTGTTTTGTTTGGTTTTTTTTTCTTATGAAAATATAATGTATAACTACTCATTTTACATTAAATATTCAACTAATTTTAAACATTAAATAGGGTTTTCGATATATTTTTTGAAACAATCTGATATTAGAGCTATAGCGAAGCCTGCAAAATGAACTATGAGAAACCAGGGCATGCAGTATGTTAGTACACAGTAATTGTGGTAAACCAAAGCATAGCAGCATGTGATCAGATGGACTAGGTATATATAGGCTGCCCTCTAATGCTAGCCAACTGTTTAGAAAAGCTACAGCACAGAGAAAAAAATCTTTTGCTTTTCCAAGATTTTCTTAATTTTTATTGCAATAAAGAATAAAAATAGAAGGTAGAGGAGAAAACTTTCTTTTGTTTGGGTCAAACTCAGTTAAAATTTCATAATCAAAGGAAAAAAAATTGTTTCAAGATGTACAATCAAACCCAAAGAAGTGGTAAGCCATAAATATGTTTAATAGAGCTGTTACAGAATTATATGATCAATTAAAGACTATTGAAAAGTATGCTTACTGTCCTATGAAATAGGCAATCACCAAGAAAAAGAAACCATTGTATCAGATAACATCAATCTATTTTATCTATACAAGATGAAACCAGCAAGCAACGAGACATGAATGAATTGCTGATAAAGCTTATTTTTAAACTCTGACTTGACACAGAATATACTTTGCAATACAAATTCTTAAGTTAATTAATTAAATACAGAACATTCAAACAGGTAAATAATTTCAAGACAGAACTGTCACCACTTATGTTTTAAAACATTTAATGCCTTCATTACAGCAAACCAAAAACAAAGTACTACATAAACGATTAAACCACCACTTATACCAAAGTACTGTTTTGAAGTTTGTAAAAAGAAGCACAGTAATGCCTTTAGAGATTAGTCTTTGTACTTGATACAGAGCATGCAGCAGAACTACCAGCAAACAAAAGCTGGTTTTCTCTAAACACTAATTAGAAACTCAAGAATGCAAGTCATGAGGGCAGGAAGAAAGACAAATCCTTAAGAAAAGTATGGCTTACCAGACAGACGAGTTTAGCTGTGTCTCAAATGCAGCAGAAGTAAGAAATTTCTGTACATGTAGACCTTGTTGATTTAGCCCTTTATGAAAGTTTCTCTCGAGAAATTAATTTAATTCACATGCAAAAGCCTGCAAAAGAAGAGAAAGAGTCTGAGCTGCTGACTGATGTTTTTGTTCTAAGAACATTTGAGCTATTTTCAGCAGCAATGGGCTTGCCTACTATCGAAATGAAAATGCAATACAGAATAAGCAGCCTCCCAACTGAGGCCAAAAAAAATCAGGAAATCCATAGCAAAAAAACTTTGTTCATTGTCCAAATTTTCATTTAAAGAAACAGAAAGCACAGGAAACAATGACTATAGATGAACAAAAAACCACATAAATCTGTTAAAAGGCAATCAGGGACCTTGAAGATTATTACCTTTAGTTCAGAAACTGAACCACCATGGATATTTTCCAATGTGAAAACAACCTTTTGGATCTGGTTATACCTGAACATGTTTTGCCTTGTTTACACAAGGGTTCATCTGAGACAGAAGTTCTTCTATTTGCATTTAAGTCCAACATTCACGGACAGGACAAATCAGTTTGCCAAAACTGAAGCCAGTAGTTTGTTTCTAGTTTGCATTTTAAGTTTTCAGTTTCAGCAATGGTGCTATAATGGAAGCTTAGTGACCTGAAGTCCCTGTCACTCCATTTTTTTCTGTCAGGGCTATTCAGTTACATGATAAATATCTCCCTGCCCTCCTCTGTCACATCGCTAACCAATCAGCTTACCCTCCCAAAATGTAAAAGTACTAGAAAACGGAAAGCATCAATACAAATTAACGACTCTAGGAAATGACCCAAAACATCCTGATGGGTACATAAAAGCTAATTACTTTGCAGTTTAAGACAACACAGATAAAATAAGTCAATGGAAAATCACCACTGCTATTTAATTTTTTGCAGCTCCTTCTGTTGGAGGAAGAAGTTTCCAAGAAATCCCCCTATATAACTTTCCTCTAGATAGCTCAGCAATTCTGACAAGCACAACTTCCATTTGATTCATCAAAAAAACATCTCATACATCATCACACTATTAGGCATTGCCACTGAAAATCTCATTAGTTTTGTTCAAGGAAAAATTATGAGATTTACTCTCTGCTCAAAACCTAAAACAGGCTGGTGTGGCAAGATTACCAAATATTTCAATATCTGTTAAATTTTCAATCAATTCTACTTAAGCACACTCATTTGAGAACATTTTAAAACACTACTGGTCACCTCAATTCCCGTTCTATTTGTGAACAGTAGATATTTAGAAGTTACAGTGACACATGAAACAGGATGCTGAACACACAGGCTATTTAGTAAACTATTAAAAGAGTAAAGCAAAGCTCATTGTTACAAACAAACACAAAAAGCACACTTCTTTTCCTGAAGACTCCCATAAAAATCGTTAGCTATAAAACATTTATAACAATAATGAAAAAGCTGCTGAATGTGAAAATATAGCACAAATTCTTTCTGGGTTAGCTCAAAAGCATCCTTTCCATTTGATCCCAGCTATTTTTAGTGTTATTGCAGTTAAGGGCAGCAACAACAAACCCCACAAACTCTAAATAACAACCTGTTAAATTAATCATTACTGCTGCTTCATTCCAACTGTCTAGTTTAAGACCACCATTTTACTGCAAAACTAGTTCAGAGAAGTTAAAAAGCTCAGTTTATATTTAATTCTAGGTTCATGAACAAAGACATTTAAGGACTCCAATAGCTTAAATTTCAGATAACATGTGAGTTCTAGCCATCTTGAGAGCTATAATGGACAGGTGAAACATTCAGTACAGTTTGCAAATACAATACAGACCTGTATCTATCAGACCACCAGTGTCAGATGCTACGTTACCTTGTTATCCATAATGCTTTCATCTGGTGGTTACAAGCTAAATCAACAAATATCCACATGCCAAATACTAATATGACACAAATACAAAACTAAAAGAATATGTTAAAATAATTATTAGCAGTATCAATTTACCACTGAAATAGAGTAACACAATGCTTTGCAGTGCAGCATTTCTTTTCTGAGGCTTTTTCTCAGAAGGTAGATTTACAATTGGCTGATTCAACATCAGCGCTTAACCCATGTCAGTACCTTGTTTCTTCATGCACTCCCTGCAACTGTATTTGTGTAAATGACTGTTTACCAATTAGTATTTATAGCATTTACATAAGCACTATTTCGGTATATACTAGGATGTGCTTTAACTGCTGGATCAGATTATCTTTATCTACAGGAAACATTAGATGCCAGAGATATCATGTATACCATCTAGGTCTCAAAGAGAAGTATCTCTGTATGCTAATTAGTAAAACAGACAAATATGTCACCACACCAAGATTGTCACCTTATGCTTTTCAGAGACTGACAAAAATCTCTTTCATTTTATGGATATCAGCAACATTAAAATCAAGAATATAATTTCTTTAGTGGCCCACTGCAGTGTGATTTAATCAACTGCTGCTATTAAACAATTCAAACATGACATAAAGGCGTACAGTTCACACTGCTAATGTAGGCACTGGGTGCAGGTCTCCAGGAGCTCCATGACCAGACACTACAGCACAGAGATTCTCATAAACCAGAAGAAAAAATCTTCATAGATAAGAGATACTAAAACTTGTTTAAAATAGTGATAGACAAGAGAGTTGCATACCTGCTTCACTGCACAGGTTCATATAAAGGAAATATCATCTTTTCTACACCTAAACTTTCAAACACAGTTGAGTCACTGAAGCTTCAGATGGAATGGCTGAAGAAGAATCCTCTTTTTGAGAAGTCTCTTGTACATTTCAAGATATGTAGATAAATACTGCACAGTCTGGTGTAATGACTTCTTTTTGCTTGTATTATTCTATCATATATTTTAATAGTAGTGAAATACCTTCTAGGAATATGATAATACGTCTAAATGAATTGCACATTACCTGCCTCAGAAAGAAACAAGGAGTATGGATAAGATTTCTTTCATTTTTTTTTCCAAATAACTATATTTCTTGAATTTAAATGGAACTAGGACAGATAACATTAAATGAATTTAACGTTAGAGAATGGAAGTACAATGCATGCACTCTGCATTTGCAGAAGTCTCTCTTGAGACCACTTCAATCTCTAAAATGACTATTTTGCAGATTACAGAAAAAAAACTATATACAGAAGGAAAGCTATCAATCACGTTTTGTCCTAGACTTCAGCTAGTCTTGCAAATGTCTTAGACATATATGAACTTGAAGAATCTTAGAAATAAGACATGTGCTCACTGAACCTGGTGCCAGGAATGCCTATATTCAAACAAATGCATCATATGCCTATAAAGTCAAAGGATGAAAATGGGTGGGAAAAGATTAACCTACAGCAACATCAATTTAATTTCTAGAGTTCACATAGATGTTAGCATTTAAGGTTTGGCATCATCAAATGAGTTGTAATCAGCTTTCACCTATACTCAGTATGAATATGCTCAGGAATTAAAGGGTGACAATGGTCACAAGTTGGCAAGAACACATACCTGAACAGTTTGTTTACTGAGATTTGGATTAAGGTTCATTAGTCAGCATCTCCTTTAGAACATTTCTGGTCTCTTTCATTCATATCTGACACAATATATTTACAATTATCGTAAGACTACTAAAAGGTTATTTATTGATGGTCAGTTTATACTTTTTCTCCTACTTAAGATATTAGGAATAGTCATTATGTGTTAGCACAGTAAGCCTGGTATAAATTTGCCACCAATAAGAGCATTTTTATTTATAAACTTTTTAAAAAATAATTAAAAAAAGTCAGCTTCTTTCTCCTATTCCTAAATTTCCAGTGCCTTGTAACCATAACGGCTTCTTAAATTCTCACTAGGGCAAATCCATGCACTGATCAAAAGCCATGATAAACTTCCATTAACAACAATAATCAAGACTTGACTGAGGACTAAGAGATAGGAAACGTTTAGGTAGAAGCAGACAGCTGTCTTCTACATCAATAGTTCTTGCTCCTTCCCCTATAATTAAATGCACTTGGCATCTTACCCAGGTTACTGCTAAATACATCTTGATGCCCAATGTTGCCATGCATACCTCAGCTTCATGTTGCAGCTTAAAAGCTGTCATATTAGAACAACAGCACATGTAACAATGACCACAAATGCACATGCAGTTTTCTTTAGTTAGATATGTATAGAAAGGTAGTCTGAAAATTTTCTAGACCATCATATGAAATAGAACTCCTAAAAAATCCTCAATATTAAAACCCCTATATAAACAACAAATTCTGCATTTTGTTCTCTACTACATTTTCATTAGAGCTACACATCAAAAAAGGTGGATCATCTTTGGAAAAATAAGCTGACTTAAGGTTTCAGAACACAGGATTCAACATTTGAAGAAACAATACGTAGACAACCACGTTACTGTGATAGTAACATCTGACACTTTCCTAACTCTAAAGAAAATAATGTTAACTCAATGGTGATTATGTTAAAAGAATTCAAAGATTCTCCTGAAGTGGCTACAAAGTCTTGCTCTTACAACCTATCTGTCCCAGTATCCCTGGCAATAGAGTCAACAGAGCCAAGACATTTCAAGAAGTGGGAAATTGTCTACAAGCCTCAGGGACAATAAACTACAACCTACAGGAATAGTACAAAAGTGACACCCACAACATTTATCCCTGCTTTGTGGCTTCATAATTCCCACATTGAAAATATGGTTGGAGAATTCTCATCTTTAACAAAACTTTCAAAGGAAAGTGAAGTTTGCTGAAGTTCATACACTGGAATTCTTTTCTTTTTATCTTTTATTGTTCTGTTAGCACATTGGTTTTACATCTAAGAAATTCTGTTCTCCAGTATCTTAGTATATCACAAAATAATTCTCCACATTAGAAAACACTGGAGTGCTCCATCCTGACTAAAGAGGGGTTTTCCACCATTTTCTTCAAATGATTAATGGTGAATGGCCCTCATTACTGATATAATTAGGTTAATAATAAACTTACTAAACTTTTCTCTCCAGCTTTGGTATAGGAGTGTTTCATCCCTATACAACGCATTAGAAAACTGGGAAGACCAGAAAGAGGAAGCTTGGGACTG